CCCCTCGTCCTCCACCACGACCACCACCATGATCATCATCATCTTCCGAGTCATCATCATAATCCGAATCATCATCGTGGAGCGAACTTCATTGCTCGATGACAAACTCGCAATAAACGCAGTAATTATGGTTACTTAAGTTGGATAGTGACCGGATCTGTTATGAGGGTAGAGATAAAATCTGATCTGCTGTGGTTACCTCTGAGAGAACGCAAACTAGTTGCGTTTACATACAGCCAGAAGACTAGAAGTTAACTGATCTCGGTCCTTGACATGTTTGGGCTTGATAAAAGTCATCCTGTACAGCCTGTTGAATCACAGATGTACATAGGACATTACACCACGTCAAAGGGACAGTCTCTTTGTGATGGTACGTTGCATTCTCAGTTATACAGTGTATCAACCAATACTTTGTACTATTAGCAGGAAAAGATATCAAAAGTTAAAACTGAAATCTTTATCTTCTATTTTACTCCCTTTCATTAAATATACACCGTTACAATTTTCAGGAACCGAGAAGCTGCCAATACAGAAATTGGAGCCAGGGGATCTGGATAATGTGAAGATCTAATTAGGTACGGAAATGACTCTCAGGTTTGAGAAGGCAAATCTGTAGGACCCACTGGAAAATCCCCCCCCCCGCTCCTCCCATCCCAGAAAAAACTGGCACGAGGCGAACCCGAACCCGTTTANTATATCAGCGATTCCAAGAAGATCCTCCACCACTTGAGCACAACGATCTGTATCCCGTTTCGAACGCTTAGAGACTTCACTTCGGCACGTGTTCGTGGCTGAACTCCGATCATCTTCCTATGCGTCAAATAACCGAAATTGGATAAAGAGTATCATTGATTGTACAATGGTCCTAAGAAGTCCTTTCTGCGGATTCTTCTATATCAATATTTCAATCAATATTTTATTGATAGGGAATCATCGTTATATTTCTTGAAGAGGTCCTGTGGTGATCCAGGCCTACGTGATGACGCCTAACCTGGAGCGGTGCGTTACATTTTCTGGACATTTGCAATCAATCAAATTTGAAAGATAACGTCAATGACACGCGCATGGCTTCTGACTACATCATTGGTGGATCGTGCCAGCCAATCCGAGGCAGTGCTGACAGAAGCAGAATTATGCAAACAGTATTGCAATCCGATTGATGGAAGCCTACATAACCAATAATCTTTTGTACATATTATTTAATCGCCTTCATCTCTTCCAACAAACTAACTACGTACTTCTATTCCTGTGGCCTCTTCCTAGCGTCTCGTTCACCTGGGCTATTGCGAGCTTGTGCCATTGCTGTCCAGTGCTTCCGTAATCCAGTCCGTGACAGCTAATCTTTGATTCGTGTCCGGTGATTCCTATTGCGTGGTTTGCATTCCGAATTTCGTGCGTACTACTAATACTACTACTACTACAACCATTACAGGTCCACACCCAAAATAACTCATTGGGGATGTGGACGAGGATAGAGTGACGAATGTTCAATTGAGATTAGAAGTATAAGCATGACTTGACAAAAATTCAACCTATATACATACATGTCCAATAGCGATACCACCACCAGTACTGCTCCTCTTCAGACGAAGGACAAAGGGCCAGATTAATGAAAACTACACTCTTGTCTGGAGCACAGGTCTAACGGGTACCCCATTCTGTAGTGGTACATCTTGAAATGGATTGTTTTTCTAAAATTGGACCACACTCCTCGCAATTACACCAGACCACGAAGAATGAATCATCCCGCATTCATTTTTAACTGACTTCGGCTAATATTTCGGTTCGATGTAACCAGAGTACATCACCATTAGGGGCTGAAAGTGTAAACTTGATTAGCGATCTTAGTGGTAGAGGTGACCAGTTGAACCGGTAGTGTGCATGTGAGAAACACTGACGCGACTGGAGCAAACAATAACGTACGGGATCGACTTAAATGACATTTGCATTATAGTTCATTTATGGTCTACACAGGTAACCCGCAAACGGGCACACACACACACATACAAACACATTGTTCCCGTTGGTGTCAAAACGCTATCGTCCATTCAAATTAGACGGAACCATTTACCCGGATTGAACCGCAAAGATTACACACACATGCTCACGCACAACCACATACGCACACATTTCAACACTCGTCGTTCGAACGGTTTTATCGATCGAACGGAATGCACTTGACACGCGCGAACACAGGAGCGTGTGCGCGCACACACACACAGACGAGGAGAAACACGTAAGATTTTTTTCCATGGATAAAAAGATTAAAAACAAATTGACATTGAAACCTTTTTTGTCCGGCTAATAAGTGCAACCGAAGATAGAGCGCTATTTGTGCATTTTGTTTGGCTCGAGCGTGCTTGCGTGCGTGCGCGTGGCATTCACACTTGATTGTGCAACAACGGAAGAGATTCATCACAGGTACACGGAAATTTCATCGATCGAAACTTTAACCACGCGCTACTTGCATAAATCCGGTCCATTTTCGTCACTTTCGGACCGGGCACATTACATCCAGCGGGCACGGGGTCACGGAAACCAATCACAATAGGTTGTTTGAAATCAACACCCCCAATCGATCATCTCAATCACAAATCAGCTGTTGTTGTATCGGTTTTGCTCCGATCTTCTCCAAACGACTCAAATCTCCGCAAACTGGTTCGAATCTCATCGAGATTGTTGAACTTTTCACAATTCAAGCATGAAACTTGAATCCGTTAAACAACATAATTCCTGTTCTGTTTATCACAAGTAAAAATGGTCCCATGCAAATCTTCCCTCCTCGTCCACAGCTTCCCCATCGACCCTGTTCAACAAAATTGTATTATGACACAGGAAAGCCATGTATAGTTTGACAGATGTGTGCGGCTCGAATCGTCAAGAGTGGGAGAAATCGCCTGACACTACGTGTGAATTATTCAATAATTAGCGACCAAATCAATTAGCAACTAAATAAATCAAGAATAGAGAAAAATCACTGTTACTTAAATATGACTAAAGAGCGCGGTGATCGTTGTTTAATTTATTGAGCCCTATGAGATTGGCAAAAGTGGAACAGATTTTTCAAATGCGAATGATTGAACGCTTTGATTGATTTTAGAATTTAAATGAGATATTTGATCCAAAGGTCAATGAACTAAATCCACCAAAACTTTTTGTCTATTCGTTTTCATTTTACTTCCTTCTTATTGAATATACAAAGATAAAATTTTTCAGGAAGGCGGAAGCAGCCAGTCCCAGAGCTACCATTCAACACACACCCACAATGAGGAAAACCAGGTGGTGGTTGTGTTAGGATTGGAATACATCCCCGGGGGTTGATAAGTTGGTGGCGGTACCACCACCACCCGTTAAACGCGAATCAATTGAATTTGCCCCCGTTTGCTCACAATTCATAGTATGTAATAAATCTTAAGGCAAGTAGTTGCCTTTTCGAGATGCACGACGCCTCGTTTGGACAGTGTACACACACTCACGCACACACATTCTCTCTTTCTCGAGTTCTACACACGATCCTCTCGTGATGAGGATGTTTGCACTAAACTGAATGGGCGTTGAACAGATATCCAGGAATCGAAATTGGTTGAGGAGTCGTGGAAAGCTAATTTGCCCAAGAAACTCGGAAAACCCTAATTCTCAACCTCCCTCGAACACATGAATCAACCCAATGATACTATCCTTAATCATGACCACCGGCGCCCAACGGTTTCCACAGACCGACGGACTGTCGTTCAGTTTTGGTATTGGCTAACCGAAGGCGCCAGTTGTACACTCCTCAAGCAAGGCATCTTTGTTTTTGTCTTGGGCAACCGGACAGACAGAGTACTGCCTCAGTGAACAGATCTCTAAAAGATGGTTGTACCGTGTCTAACTTTGTCCGGATCGATGAAAATGTGTCCCCCCCCCCTCAGCGACGTTAGAAAAGTCATCTGGTAAATTGAGTTGATATTAGTTTGCACTGCCCGACCGCAATTGCGGTGTCGTGTTCTAGCTCGAAATGTCCCTGAAAGAGCCCGATCTGGATGAGTAAATGAACGAAAATCGGACCTCGTGTGTGCGTGGTTGCCATCTTAACAGTCCGTCCGGTCTTGGACCATATGATCACCGTGTTTCAATTAGTGAACCACCTTGCTCTCTTGATTAGCGGATATGCGCAGATATGTCCAGATCTCTTCATGGTCTGCTTCAAATGGGCATCTGGTTTGTCCTGATCTTCTTCCGGATCGCATTGTTCGCTTGCACTTGACATTCGACACCATTTTGAAACTGAGCTGCGGTTCCGGTTCGATTCATCCTCTGCCAGGTCATCAGTTACGGCCCTCTGCATCCCAAGTTGGGAATGGTGAGACAGCGTAATCGCTTGGTTTACTAATCTCAGTGACGAAATACCCGGCTGTTCGGACTAACGTGTACCAACTGAATGCATACGCCGTTTTCCATCAGAAAAGACCAGTTTCGTCCCCACTAAGTCATTTTGACACAGTGGTGTTCAAAAAAGAACGGATGCAACGAGCGATGATAATATGCAAATGAACTAATTCGATTTCTTCACGCGATGTCTTTGGTACCATGCACTGTGGGAATTTCTCGGGTAATAATACTAATAATAAAAGTACTAATAGCAAAAACTATGTAGTATTGGCGAATAACCACCCCCAGGTTTTCTTCCGATTTTTGGATCGTTAGGATCACGATGCTATGCGATCGCTTCAACCGTGTACGTTTTATATCTCACCCACCCTGATCAATTTTTCGTTCGCTTTTCCTCACTTACAGCCACAATTAAACATCTGCACTTGCAACAACATAGTGACGATTCCTCGATGGATGTTACAGAACACATCGATCAGCTTGAGTACCAGCTCTGTTACATGCATCCACCCACTCAGCTCGAAAATTTCTCTCTCTCACACACTGTCCTGTACGTTCTCACCTCACTCTAGTCTCGTCTCGGGGGTCCGCCATGTGGATCTCACAGCGAGTTGGCGAATACNGAATACCAACACTGGCCCCAGTCACCACCCGCCCAGCCGCAAACACCAGAACCGGTGGATACGGTCTGACGAAGGTGTTGGCACCTTTTCACGCACTTCAAAGGAGGCATATGTGAGTGTTGGACTTGGTTTTTGCACTCATCTCTTGATGTGTGTGTGTGTGTGTGTGTGTGTGTGTTAGGCACAGTTTTTCAGACAAAGTTGAAAAATCTAGACATGGTGAAAACACGGGTCCGATCGAATCAATCTGGAACCGGGGTCGGTTATGCACCCACTTGGATCATCGCGTGCGATGACAACCCTTCTCGTGCCCGCTGGTGATCTGTTTAAATGACAAAATTCGATTCAGACAATGTCCTTCTTTCCGGGTCTCTGTCTGTCTGACCGTCAAAACTTTTTTCGCCGACACGCATCTGTTGTGCGCACCGTTTGGCTAAAATGTTATTAGCGGCACCGTGTGTGTGTGTGTATGTATGTATGTATGTATGTTTGTTTGTGTGGCAGACCGGTATTTTATCCTCTGATGGTTGTAACATGAATAAATTGATCGGTCGACACGCTTCCGGACAAGTGGGGCTATTATTGCGCCCGGCTTTGATCTATTCCGCTGCCTGGATTATTGGCACGCACACAACTTGACTGAACCGGATTTCTTCCGACTTCCGACTTCCAAAGGTCTCTATTTGGCCCGCACGACACAACACGCGACCAAAACCCACGGGAGCAGTCAAGAATTTCCATGCACATGTAGTTTCGATCCGCAGAACACCACAGCGGTCAATTTTTGTGCACTATGATCACTGGTATCCAGGAGAATAGCAAATTGCTTAGGTTAAAAATATCACTTATAAAAATAGACACATTGAGATAGGATTCGGCAGAAATGTGTGTGTGTGTTGCTAGTACATTACCAATAGGAATGCGCGGTCTGTCTGTCCTGATCTGCATACGGCCCACACCTGAACCCAATGTAGGACATTCGTGGTATTCTGATCTGAAGGCTAAAACCCCGCACTGGGAGCGACATAATTTCCAACGGGCTCTTTCTATACCTTTTGCAAATCAAGTTGTCTCAGCATCAATCATTTCAAGACGTCCGGGAATCATTTCAAGTTGTTTGACCATTATTTCAAGTTGTCCCAGCATCATTTCAAGATGTCCTCAGATCATTTCAAGCTATCGCGTTGACCTCACCGGTGCTGACAAGCCTCCTAGCGATGTCTGGATGACCACCGTGCAGCACCGATTTCTCTACTTCCCTTTGAAGTGCGGGGGATGATTGAGACGGGCTTCAGTCACACACGCCTCAGGTGTGAATGTGTGCGAAAACAAAGAGACTGTAAATGAGAACTGAGTATTCTCACTGTGGTGAGGTAATATTTGATAGCTGGATTGTGTGGACCATTCATCATTACCGAGCATTTCTACCTATATACGGGCAGTAACCATAAGTTAGAGCTTGTTTAATCTGCTCTCTGGCGGCCTGCATGCTTATCCAAGACATCGACGTAGGTCCAGAAATCTTCTCTCTTTTGGACCTGCTTCATAAAACGTTGCGCCGAAAAATGTCTTCCCCGTTTTCAGATCCTCGAGTTTAGGTAATATCACGTTAGGTTCATAGGTTGTTTCATCCTTTGTTTACCAATGTGTGTGATATTCATCAACTGATACTGTACCCCCATCGTTTCCCCCGGGTTGACTACAGGAACCCTAAAGTACTGCGTTGTGGTTCAGCTATGATACCCGAAAAGCGTTCTGATCTTCAAAACTTACTAACTTATCTAACAATTTCTGATTGGTGGTGGCTTCGGTAATCACTAGTTTAAGAACGACCACGGTGGTGTTCCCATGGTGAACCTGAATCGAGAAATGCGATAATGGCAATAAGATTGTTCGAAGACAGTTTGCACTTACTACATGTGAATGTCACACGTTAAACTAAACTCACCCGGTTTACTTTGAGTGATGGAGGTGTTTAAGTAATACTATATGATTTCAGCGATAAAGATTATCGAATTCAGAGCCCATACTCAGAAAAGCGCATTTTGGAAACATTCCAATTTTTAAACTAGCATTTTCTTATAACATTACGTAATGGTTATGAAAATTTTGAGATCTTTCGACAGCCCTCATTAAGTCACTCTTATTGCAGTTGATTTGATAACGATATCTCCTTCCGTTCCGAAAATATGGCCAAAATGGTCATTTTGATTGTTCATTGCTTGAAGGTGCTCCTGTGGTGGTGTCGCACAAATAGATAATGACCTGAAAGTGTCGAACAAACTGGATGTGAATCTGGCCAACACTGATGTGTATATCGATCGAGCACGATCTAGTGCAGCCGCCTGAGGTGTAGCTTATGAATTCTATTGCAGCATCATGTGATGGTGGTAAGCAATGGCTCAAGCTTTGATCGCGCATGACCCACTGGTATCAGCGGAGCGGGACAAACATACGCACTGAGGCGTATGCGTACTATCAAGATGGGGATTGAGGCGTGACTGAAGCCCGTCTCACAATCGTCCCCCGCACTTCAACGGGAGGTAGATATGCTGTATGACGGTCATCCAGACATCGCTGGGAGGCATGTCAGCACCGGTGAGGTCAATGCGACGGCTTGAAATTATCCGAGGATATCTTGATATGATACTGGGACAACCTGACTTGCAAAAGTTATCGCCTACTGCTGCATGGACACCGATAAAGGACTATTGCACCACTGTGGCAATTCTACTTAACAAGCCAAGAAGCCACACGTTACAGAACAGCCAATCAGAGGCTAAAAGCATGGGCCAACCAAAAGACATGGGGTCCAAACAGGAGTCTTGTGACAAGGAGAACACGAACGTTGATTGGGTAATGCCTGTTTCGATAACGATATTCCATTGCATATATTAGTGAAATCCATTAGTTTTCCTACAAAAGTTAACCCTAAATCGTGTTGTTGTTTTTTCTTGCACCCTAGTGTCCGTAGGTTTCGGTAGGCGCTTATCAGTACTGCGCCGTGTTAAAATTCCGATTCATGATCTGCGTCAATTTCGATTATTGCAAATCGATAGCGTCTCTTCACGGAATGACAAAAACCAGAAATTGAGGCGATTAAAAATTTCCTGTGTGAGACAACCCGAATGATATTTTCACTGCTGAGCAATAAAGGTGTAGGCATTTGATAGGTAGTTAGTTGTTTTTATCTGTTCAGTCCGGAGACTGTGCGGGAATTATTTCAGATTCTTTAAACGCAATATCCGAGATAAATAGCATCAGTTATTTTCGAGTCAAAGTTGAACCATCTGTATGAGCGGAGGCTGGGACAAGACAGAGGGAAACTAGTTTTCATGAACTCCGCATGCCAACTTTTGCGAAAACCGGTCGGAACGTGGGGACAGTTTGGGTGGGTACGTGTAAAAACAGTGTAATGCGAGTGACTAAAGAGCACACACATTTCAAACGGTGTCGCACTAGGTCCGGCTGTGGTGGCAGATATATGAGCGGAGCAAAACAAGTATCACGAACTATAGATCAAGCAGTCCGTTCTCGTTACGGATTCTTCGAGAATCAAAG